GCTCAAGTCCATTTCAGAGCTTCATTTAACATCTCATATTAAATGCAAATTAAATGATCACTCAGGTACTCTGTTATAAAATACTTGGCCAAAGAAAGCCTCCAATTGTAGGAAAGACTGGGTCATGCTGAATGAGGGCGAGAATCAGATCACTGGCCCTTGGCATCACAAGGGATCTTTATACTTAAACTCTGAAATGGAATCCTCTACTCCCAAACCCTCTCCCGTAGAAGACAACCCCCTACACCCCACCCCCAAACCTTTCTTCTTCAAATTCCCTCTTTCAGTGAAAGGCTTTGTCCGACCCCTTTCCCTCAGCCCTGACATCTTTCCAGGCAATTACTGGGGCCTGGCAAATACCATCTCTGATTTAATTGGAACCCCACATCTCAGCTAGTTTATTTTTTTAACCTTCTAATTGGTCTCCTGCCTCCAGTCGCTTCCCAGCCAAGGTCATCCTGCACTCCACTGACAGAATTATCTAACTATGTATCTCTCATCATGCTGCTCCACTGAGTGAAAACTTTGGCTGGTTCCCCAATGCCTTCAGCCTAATTTTCAAACTTTGTAACATGGAATTCAAATTTCTCTCAGTTCGATTCATCTCCCACTACACTCCCAGGCTTCTACTCTTCATCCATACTGAGAAAGTCATTGTTTCGCAAACACAAGGGCAACTGCCTCCATACTTTTCCTTCTGCTGTTGTCACATCATTTCCGCAATTCTGGTGCTTCTTCTTGGGATATCTCAGACATTACTATCTTGACTTCTCCCTGTCCTAGAAGGAGTGAAGGCTGCTTCTCTGTGGCAGTTCACCAGTGTGCACATACGTCTTAACTGTGTAGCTGCCGCCTGTACTTGGATCACAAGCCACATTCCCTTAGTTACCATTTTATTCCCTATCATGTAATGTGTACTAGTGGAATGTAAGCTTCTTAAAAGCAGTCAGCAGTCTTTGTGGCTGGCACATCGTAGGTTTTTATTGTGTATTTGTTGAAGGAGTGACTATCAACAAATGTTTGGATTAGCAAGGGAAGAAATGTATGGTTCAAATAGAACCGGTGCACTTTCCCCTTTTGTTGACCATATGTGTGCATCAGAATCCCACTGTGTGTAGCTGTGGTCTTGTGCCTTGTGAAGTGGGAACAGGCTCTTGCTAATATCTAGCTTTCCAAAGCACTTACAATGCATCTAACTGGTGTGATCTTGTTTTATATCGGGAGGCTGGATCACATTTCTGTATCTACTGGTTTCACACTATGAAGTATACTTATGGAAGAAGATACTACTTTGTTGTAATTCTTCATTTGGTAATAATTCCCCTTAGTTATTTAGAATTATAGCTAAATCATAGAGAAGATTGAATTTAAGAGAAGTTAACAAAATTTTGCTTTTAAAAATCCCATTAGCTGTTTCTTTCTTGGGCAGATAGCTACACCTAGTGGCTTTGTCGATTATTTCAGAGACTCTAGGAACAACTTTTTGGGTATTTTTTTCTCCCTTTATTTAACCTCTGCTTATTTGGTATCTTTTATTTCCTTTTAATTGGTGAAAAGATATTTTTAACTCTTTTATTCTGCTATTTTTAGAAGAGAAGCTGATTCTAGCATAGGAATGGAGATAGAGGAATTCATGTTTGTCCATAAAAAGCATGTCCCATGTCATAAGTAGAGTACTGTAAATACAAATAGCAAGGCAATTAGGCCCAGGACCCTCTGATACTTAAATAGGAGACTTTTGTGCAAAGTACTCTCTTTCTGTTATGTGGATATTTCCCAGATTTCTTTGCCAGATGTGTATATTAATCAGTATATGCACAAATATACACTCTTGCATTGGATGCCGTATTTATCAAGCACACAAGAATAAATTCTACCCACATACATTTTCCGTGTCATTGTACCATATTTGTATTTTGAAATTTTTGATGGAAATATGCCTAGCATGTATCACACACATTTCTGCCTTTTAATAAAGGCTATGTTTTATAATTATCCTTATCTTGACAACTTAGAACCATAGTTAATAAATATTAATTGCTGCAGTGAACTGAAGCCTTCAGGAGACACTTAGAAACTCTTTGCTCTAATTTCTTTTAGATAGACTACAGTGCTTTACAAAACATTTGTGTCTATTCTTTACAGTTTTTTCTGTCTTCTCCTTGTGTCTCTTTGCTACTGGTATTGTTTCTTTTGCAACTCTCCTTCTTTTGCAATTCTATTTCTATTTCTCCTACTCCTGTCCCCTTCTGAATTGTGTCTTCTAATTCTGCTGTGGACTAGAGAGGCAACTAACCACATAGCTTAGTAGTAACTCAATTCTCCTGGCTTCTACTTTTGTGCCCTTACACTAGCCTGAAAATATATACTAAATCCACAGTGCTTTAAAGTCAAGAGTAACTAACGCCTTAAACTCGTGAGTAAAATTAAGAGTAACTAGATTTTGAGATATTGTCCACTAGAGTAAGTTGCATAGCCTTAGAGATTCTGTTACTACTATTTTAGCCATTGGTCAGTCTTTGTTGTGTGATTCCTGGCCAGGTCACTGAGTTCTTTGTATCCATACACGCACAGAATTAAGTCAGAGTATTCGTTGTACATTTAGTATGCATGAGGTACATGGTGGGCACAAACTTGCATCTGTAGACTTCTTTGATAGCATAGCACAATTGATACAACATTCAGGATTACAGTGCCTTGATAATTATTTACATTTGAATTCTCTATTCAAATTTGTTTAAGACTGTCCATAATAATGATTTGCAGAGGTTCTCACTTAACTTTAAAACTTTGTGACTTATGTAATTATGGCCAGATAATTTATAAACAGAACTTGAAGAGAAAGTTGACTTTTCTTTTTACAGTTCATATGATCTCTAAGCCACAGGGTATCTAATCTCCTCACGAATGGTACCTGCATGCAGTGTAGCTACCCTAAATCTATTAGATTCCAAATATCTTTAGAAAATTCTGTCACCTGTGTAACTTATATTATTAAATTTTAAGACTCTTTATAATCTTAATTTCGTCCTAGGGTTGATTTTAAATAAAATTTTGATTATTTACCAAGATATCTAGGAGCTAGACTTAAAGGATTTCCTTATAAACCAAGAGAGTATTGATTTTTTTTCATCATTCCTAAATAAAACTATTTTTTGTCCAAGTATTCTTTTCAATGAAGAAATTCTTTGTGGCCAGTAATTTTGGGATTCATTGGCTTTCTTTTTGATGCATTTTTTGTCTCCTTGACTTCAAATTCTTGGGGAGTAGGACTGGGCCATTTGGCATACAATTTGTCAAATAGTCAAGTGGCAGTGAGAGAACCAGGCTTTGGCATCCGGACCACAGGTGGAAAATTAACAAAAGGTTCTGCACTCTTCTCTGGAGTTTAATATCATTAGAAGAAGGTGACCATTACTCTTTCAAATCCAAAGGTGACAAATAAAATTTCAAATGCTGGTTCCTGCCCGGTGACCTGTGACACTATTCGAGAAACACATCTTCAGTGTCTAATGAAGAGCTTCATTGAGAGACTCCATTTTTAGAAACGAAATCTGGGTGACTGTCAGGTGTTTCCACAGGATTCAACCACCTAACATAATCACATGCCACTATTAAAATACATTGGAAAAGGTTTGATAACACAGGAAAAATAATGTATTGTTTAAAAAAGAGCATTCTTTAACTGTATTACAGTACCTCATTTTAGTTGAAAAATTATCTTATACAATTAGAAGAATATATATGAGTATTAATAGTGCTTATCTTTTGTAGATAGCATTGCAGATGATTTTTCTTCTGTATTTTTTTTTCAGATTTGCAACAATGAACTTGGATTATTTTATTGTCCGCAACATGTTATTAAAAACCTATTTTTAACTTGTTTTGCCTCTATAGTGAAAGAAACTTTTCCCCTAAGGCTTCCTAACATTGTCATTTCGAAAAGGGGGACAGGGTACACTGATTTAGCATTTAGAAGACGTGTCAACTTTTATTTAATTTATTCAAAAAATACTTGTTGACATTGTGAGCAGGCAGTGTTGAGGATTCTTTATTAAACTAGGGCCCCAGGAGAAGATGGACAATAAACAAATATTTATGTCTTGTGGTAAGTGCTAAAGATAGAGAATAAAGGGACTACTGAATGTGGCGGAGGGGAGGTGTCTTTTATTTTTCTGGTCCTAAGTTTCTTAATCTGTAAAAAGGGTCAGATCAGAAGAATAACAATATCCTTCTCTCAACATTCTGTGACTTTCCTGACTTTTGAATTACACTTGGCTTCCAAAGCAATTATATCACCCAAATACAGAAATAGGTCCTTTTTAGCAATGCGATAAAAGAGGAAGTATGTGTCTGGACAAGAGTACTGAATAAATAGCAAAAAAAATTTTTTTAATCCAGTGGTATTTCTATAACTTATTAATAATAAAGATGGCAAGTGAAGATTGCAGAACATTAAATGTGTATGTAGTGAGTAGTGCAAAAGAAAACATGTTTTAAAAGGAATTACTCTTAGGTAAGTAGTAACTTTTCTGTGATTAACATTTGTGTATAGACACACGAACACCTAGAAAACAATTTGACTTTAGTTTTGCTTTCCCAGAAGGTTTATATCATCAAATCTCATTTGCATTTTCATGCAGTTAGGTGATATAAAATATTGGGGAAACAAACAACATGAAAGAAGTAGAGTTCTTTTGGAGTTGGTGGCAGAAAGCCAAAAGATGAAATGGACGTCATTGGAGAAATTCTCTTTGATGAATATGAACTTTTCTAAAATGCATTGTCTTATCCATCTCCTGTTTTACTGCATTTAGCTGTTGGATGGCACCTTGTATAAAACTTTGCATACTAGAACTACTTTTTTGTCATTGTTTGCCTCAAATTAGGGGAATGAAAACTTCTTTCCTCAAATAGGAATGATATAGGTGGCACTTGTCATCTCTTGTCTTCCAGAAACTATTCCTGTGATGCCTCACACCATCTTTTCTTTGTTTCAGATATCCTCTGGCAGTTGTAGGCAGGATGTTTCAGAATCCCCTGAATTGCGTCAGAAATCACCATTATTTCAGTTTGCTGAGGTAATATGTTACAATTTATACTTAATGAGATTATATTGTGAGCTTAAATTTAGGTTGATGGCAGTAACTTAAAGCAATGAAGAATTCTCCGTAGCTCAATTAACCATAGATAGGAAAATAGAATCAAATTTTGGAGCTCCACAGTCTGTCAATTAAGGAATAACTTTATGTTTATAGAAGCTTCTCATTAAGTCGTAGTAAATATTACATTTAAACCGCATCACTAATTTTTATTCATGGATAATAAAGTTAAGAATACAATTAAACTATTGTTAGAACTTAGTCATTTATTAGCTGTTAATTTATCAGTTGTTAAATCAGAAGATGGAATCAACTCATGGTTATTGGCTATGCATTACTTTCTTTTAAAAAAAAGAAAGTGCACTTTGCTCTTAATTGAAACTTTAGCATGCTGTTGGCATTTTTCAAGGTCTTATGTCTTGTGTCAAACTTGTTTGATTCCATGTGTTTCCAATGTTGCTTCAGAGATGATGTAGAAAAGCACATTGTCCTTACGATCAAATGTATAAAGTTAAGACAACTTCCCCAAATATCTTCATTTGCCCTAGAACTCAGTACGGAGCCATCATTGATTAATTTTTTCTAAACATTAAAGTGGTTTTCCCTTGATCATTTGAATTGTCTTTTACTAGACCTTCTCTTGCACTGTCATCCTTCCTAACATATGCCATTGTGTTAGGTGTTGTCCAAAGAGAACATATTTTTAGTTTCAGATTCTTTTCTTCTCTAGTGCCTTTTCCTGGTGGATCTCAACATTTCCTTGGCAAAACTACAATTCACAAAGGCAGAGGCCATTCCTTTTGAGACATTGTTTATAATATACATAAATGCCTTGCTAATACACCAGAATGTTATTGTACATATTTGCTCACATGATATTCCTTACCTATCACTTTCCTTTCTATATGTTTGAGATACGCTGTGTGAATTCCAATTGTTTTATATATTATTTCCTCAAGAATTTAAGGTTACAGAGGATTCACTCTGCACTCAACTTTTAAACAGTAGTTATAGACATGTTAAATAATGTTGGTCCCAATTTTGAAAGCATAGATGCATGGCCAGTGATCCCTGAATCTAAAGATCTAATGAAAACCCTAAAATTTCACATGAAATTTTGTATTGACATATGCGCATTTCTGTGGGCTCTATAGCATACCTAAGAGATCCCTGACTCTGTTGATTTATAGAAAGGGTCCCTATTCCTGATCTGATATTTCTTCAGGAACTCCCTATTCATGTCATTGCCTGAGTGTCTCTATCCCAATAATAATTTATAAAGAAATTCCCTTGTTTAGAAACTTGTGAAATGCCTTTCAAAAATCTAAGGGGTTGATGTCAGTGGTTTCTGCATTTCCTTCATTGTCTTATTTAATTTTGAAAGAAATATAGGCTAGGCAATTTCCCTTACATAAACTGACTATTTTCTTTAACTTTTATAGAGGGTTGATAGGAATGAAAAGTGCTCTCTGAAGTTAGACCTACTCAATTCATAATTCCCAGGACTTCAGGAAAGTCCTTGTGGACTCATACATGCAGTCTGTCACACTTGTACATGTTGTTCGTTTGAAATGATAACATTTCATGATTTGACCAAGAAGCATACAATTTTTCCTTCAAATGTCTTTAAAACACTTGGTTAAATTTTATTCACTCACAATGATGGTTTTATATCTACTTTATTAAATAGGATCTGGATCTTTTTTTCTTTTTACTGATGTTTATTCTAAAGATGCTTCTATGTCTTATTATAGTGGCATTAAAATTTTCTTAATGGCCTCAGCAGTGAATAAAGTCAATAATTCCATCAGTCACTTTACTAATTCTTTCTCATCCCTAAACATTACTTTGATACTGTATCACCAACTGCCTCCATGGTTTTTCTAACCAGCTTAATTTAATTAAGATGAAAAAAATTGACTTCTCTGGTTGAAGGATTATAATTAAGGTGCATTTTATTGCTTAGTAAGTACCCTTTGATGGAGTTCATGAGCACAGTTAATTGAAGAACAATACTTTTATGGGACTGGGAATGGGCTGAATTCATAATGCCTAAGCTTTTTGCTCTTGTGAGTCACTTTCACCCTATTTTGTAGCTGGATGGAAGTATTGTTCACTTTGGAACCAAAATTAGTAACTGACATTGTTCTCAAAAGATCTTTGAGAAGTACTTCCAAGGGCCATCAGAGCAAACTTAATAAGGCTACCATATACTAAGTGGAAAAGAAAGGTCTCCTAGTTGAATCAAGTATAGTATGGCAGAGTCCTCCATCCACTGTCCGATGCCTGTAGAGTGAGAGGAAGAGGGAGAAAGAGAGGTGTGTGTGTGTATGTGTGAGTGCGTGCATGTGCGCACGCATGCACATGGATGGTGTTACAAAAGAAATGCTGTTCCTCTTCAGTGAATAATTTATTGGGTGCTGGTACTATGCCAGGCAGTGTATTCTGTAGCTTGTTTTCTTTTCACTGTAATCCTGTAAAATGGGGATTATTCTCTTCATCATCATTGTCAGTTTACAGTTGGGAAAAATAAGTCTTAGAAGGATTAGCTGAACTGCCCAAGGTCATGTAGCTAGCGAGCAGCAAGCTAAGATTCAGTCCCAGATACCCTGAGCCACATCCATATGCTTCTCAAACACTGTTTCCCAGCTGCCTCTAAGCAGAGAACAGCTTGAGGGGAGTGGTGTAGGAAAGAGAGTGACTGACTTTCCTGCAGCTTCCAGCTTTTAATAATATTTTAAAAAATATATTGAAATAAAGCAGTTCATCTCAACGCTCCTCAACTGCTGTTTGCAACATACCTGATACCCTACAAGAGACATGGCAAATGAGCCAGTCGTGGTCTTTTGTTCTTCCAATCATCTGTTTTTAGACACATGGCCTTTGTCTTCCTTTATCATTTATACTGTTCTTCTAAAAGGCATTAAGGGTGATGATTCATGTCTTAATCTTTATCAGTGTGTACAGTGGAAATACATGGCTGAATCTATTAGTCTGATATGGGAAAATGTCCTTGTGCGTTAAAGATTACTTGTTTCCTTTCAGATATCTTCAAGTACGTCTCACCCTGATGCTTCTTCAAAGCAGTGTCAAGCCTCAGCCTTGTTTCAGTTTGCAGAGGTATGACCTCTTTTTGTTGTTGTTGTTGTTAATGATTATTGGGCTCAGAAACTTACTGAGCTCAGGAAATATTAGAATAGAGTTTTAATAACATATAGCGAACTTTAGGCATGCCTTTCGCCATTACGAACATAATGCACGTAAGGGAATACTTCATGCTTTTTGCTGCCTTTGCTATAATCATAGATCAGCTCCATATTTTGTATTCATTTTATAAACATTCATTAAGGAGTTCATTTAGAATAGACCCTTTCCACTAATTCATTTATTTAATTTTACCTTGTTTTTATTTTAAAAGCTTGAAAAAAACTGCTGTCCACATGAAGGCCTTAGGATTTCAATTTATTAAATTTTTCCAGTAGTAACATTAGATGCTGTAATTTATGAATAACTCACAGTGGATGCAGTGGTGAATACAACCTGTTAAATCATCAGAACTTAGCTTTCTATGTGATGTAGCTTTAGCCAGCGTTTTTATTAGTGTTTAATCCCAGGCTTAGATCAGGTCAGCTCTTACAGGATCTCAGATTTCTGTGGTTTGTCAGCCAGAGAGAGAGCACACACTAGAGAGTGCTTACTTAGTGTGAAGAGGCACATCGGATATGCTTGATTTTACCACAAAAGCCCTGGCCTCAACCATATGCTGCTCATTCCTAATGAGCCTGTATGACAAATAATAAAATGCAGATTGATCGTGAAAATAATATGGTGTCTGCTTTCGGTCTTTCCCCTCTTTCCTCTTTTATTAATTCCAACCAAAAATACATATCCTAAACTAAGCAGTTTTTTAAAGGGTTGAGAGAAAATGACAAGCAGGACTGTTCTGTTTAATATTGATGTATTGAATCACTTTGATTCATTTGAATAAAGAGTGCTGCATAAATGAAATGTAAAATGATATCCTTTTGGCAAGAGAAAACTCAGCATCTTACTTTGAAAATGAGGAAAAATTACTTTCAGCTTTTACATTAAAAAAAGAAATCCTGCTTCCTCTTGGGACACTTATCTCAACCACTGTGACTTTATACCACCAGTTGGCCTGCTTATCTGTTAGGCTTCTCTGACACAGTATTTGCTTTAGTTGTTGAGGGCTATTCTATCGACTGGTAACGAAAATATCATATGATGCTACTACCATTTATGAAGAACAATTTGCTTGATGAATCTGAATAAATTAGGATTTTATTATAATTTTTCATTATGATAAGCAGACTGTTATTTCCAGTCTGGGGAAATCGTTTTGTTTACTTTCTTGCTTTCCTTCAGTTGTTGGCATCCATTTATTTGATACGAATACTTTTTTTAAGAGTTAAAAAAAAATTGTGGTAGGGACTAAATTTGTTTTTAATTTTGATGCCCGAGCCAGTCCCATGCAACTTTTTAGAAATATTTTCCTCAAAACAATGTATTTGCCATATATTCTGTTTGATTAAATTTTACACTCTCTAGCAGGAATATAGTGGCTCATCTTTGACACACCTGACAATGCATTAACTACCAACAGTATTCAGCTTCATTTAAAATGTCAGTATGGGATATCACAGCTGGTGTTTCTAACAGTTATCTTCACTCAGAACGTGATTGTTATTTAAGTGAAACTATTATCATATTTATGAGGAGTTCCCTGAAGCCCTGGGCAGCTTTGAGGAACCAGTTTGCTGATGTAACAGGGGCTGTCCTGTGCTTGTGGAGAATGAGATCCCAGCCTCTCTTAAAATAGTCCTTGCTACTCAGTATGCTCACTCCTTAAAGCATGAGAAGTTTTTTCTTTTTTAATATTTTTTTAATGTTTATTTTTGAGAGAGATAGAGCACGAGCAGAGGAGGAGCTGAGAGAGAGGGAGACACAGAATCAGAAGCAAGCTCCAGACTCTGAGCTGTCAGCACAAAGCCCAACGCAGGGCTCTAACTCACGAGCCCTGAGTTCATGATCTGAGCGGAAGTCAGAGGCTTAACCGACTGAGCCACCCAGGTGCCCCAAGAAGGGTTTGTTTGTTTGTTTTCCAAGAAAGAAAAGAAACTTTTCTCTCTTGGGAGTTGTGCAGGGATATGTTTGCAGATTTCACTCCTCTGCTCAGTAGCATCAGGAGACATAAAAAGTGTTAATTTGAAAATGATTAGAGTTACTGCAAGACCTCATAAGAGAAGAAGGTATGCATGGTGGCAAAATCAAAATATTTTGCCCTAGAATCAAATGCAATTCCCTCTGTCAATCAGTATATTATTTTTGCTAGTTATATTTTGCTTAGATTGGTAACATTAACACTTTTCATTCCTAAGTAAATTAAATTATTGCGTGCTTGTTTATTACTTGTAACTGTTATATATGATTATACAAGAGAAGCACACGATTCCCTAAGGATATGTAACTTCTCTGGTCAGTTGCCTCAGCTGGCCCAAGAGAACCCTAAGTTTCAATCTCTGACATCTTATGATCTGACCACATTGTTGGCCTCATTTGAGGCTGGTTTAATTCAAAGCTAAACAAGATCTAACTACATAAACTAATAAAATTATCTACTAAAATCTGCTATGAGCACAGGTATTGCAGAAGAAATAGAATAGGTTATAATTACTAACTGTAATCGTATCCCTAAAACTTTTATAATTATTTTGTATAACACTCATCACCTTTGAGAAAACATAAAGACTCTTGAATTCTTGTTTTAATTAGTCTACAGCAGAGGTTCTCAAACTTTAAAATGCATCAGAGTTCCCTCAGAGGCTTGTTCAAACAGATTGCTGGGCTCTACTGCCAGGGCTCTGATTTATTAAGTCTGGGGGCAGGGGTGGGGAAAGGTGCCTGGCAATTTGCATTTCTAACAAATTTCCTGTTAGAAAACCGCAGTTCAAGGTCACTGCTCTGTAGTTTGTAATTGTTACCGTGAGTTATTGAATCGTCATTGTTGAGGCACTTCCTAGTATGTCTGGGACCTCATAGGGAAAGGGATGGACATGTAATGGAAATCTACTCAATGGCCCACTTACAGCCCCACCTCTTTTCAGAGGGATTTCCATCCTATTATGTGCACTTAGAGAAAAATGGGGGTTTATGTGATTTAGGAAACAATTTACTCCTTAAAACTGTTTAGCTTTGTGATGTTATTTTAAGGTCAGGCAGGCAAAATGCTTAGAGACCATTCCTGCTAATTTGATTTACAAACATTCATAACTTTGAGAAGAGATTAGTTAGATCTTCTCTTGGCAGTGGGTCATTTATTGTGTCAAATAATTATCCTAGGAACACATTGTTTAAGAAACCGTAAGCCCTGGGCAGTTCTTTAAGTTGAAGTTGTTTTTTCTTTCACACTAAGTCCTGGGTTTCTGCTTTGCAGGCTTAGAAGGATGTTTTTCTTTCTTAATCAAGTCTGATAGTTTGAAAACTCGTTGAAGTGAACCTGCATGGAGTCATGAAACTGAATAAAGAACATTTTGTTTGTAGATTCCCCACGAAAGCTTACGTTTAAAGAAAAATATACCTGCTTTGCAAGATCTAGGAAGAAATACAGAGTGTAAAGCCTGTTCACCGCCACCCCCCTCCATTTCAGCCTGTCTCCATTCCTTGCTGATACCCCTAATTCATCTGTGTTCACCTTGGCCCATCTGAAGAGCCATCACTCTGTTTCTGGCTCTGATCCATTACATTGGTCAGAATGAGTTTCCTACCTTCATCTTCTGTTGTTTACAGGTAGAGTGACACATCCATCACATTTTAGATCTCATTTACTGAAGACTAATGACCACATGTAATGCCAGAAGGGAGCTATTGTCTTCTATCATTTAACAGGTCTGGAAGCCATGACCAGTTCACATACTCTCTTTTCCGTTGTGTGGCTGACTCTTACACCTACAATATATCTTTGCATTGAAATATATTTACTTTGAAGACAGAGAACTAATCTAGATGATTTAGACCAATAAATTTGGACATTAAAACTTCCCTTAGAAGGTATTTACTTTGCCAATATAAATACAGTCATAATCTCCTCAAATTTAAAGCAATGCCACAATTGGATAGATGCAATAGGTGCAAATTTAAAGCATTCATTTTCATCATGGACTGTTCAATATATTACAGAATATTACACTCGACAAAAACTGCATACTCACACTGCAGCTAATCAGTGTGAAAGTATCACGTGTTTTTATTGGAAGCATTAATATTTCTTTTAACGTAAGAAAGACCAATCATCCCATGTTGTTCATTTGGGTTTTTAAAATTTTTTTTATTCATTCAGTAATTATCAGTCATTTCCTCCCAGACTACATTGTTTTATGATACCCCTCACAACTCCAAAACACTTCCTCCATTACCTATTTTACTTTTAATCTTTACTACCTGTTTCCGTGGTATGCTTCCCTACCTCAGGCAGCTATAAAATTAACAGTTTAACATCCAGGGTGATCATTTTTCTTAGCACATTTGCTCTGCGTCTTGTGCTATTACACGCACTCTGTTTATCAGAACAGTACATGCTGCCAAAGGAGAGACTATGGAGTTAACAGATTGGCAAGCACCGTCTAATTTGAGGAAAATAAAAAGCAAAGCCAGGAATGTACTATGCAGTATGGCCCACTAGGGTCCCCTACCCATAAGTATAACATAACCTGCCCTTCCTCCACTAGCCGACCAACTTTGAAGAACATATTACTGTGATGTTCATACTTGAAAGGATGCGTAAGTCTCTTAAATAGGAAAACAATGGGGGAAATGAACAGTGGTATAAACAGTGGTATAACAAATCAGCATTGTAGAAGCTCTAACAAAGCTATCAGAAGAGATCAGATTACTGAAAGAAATGTATAAATAAAAAGAGAGAAGGCCCTAAGACAAAACCCTGAAGAAAAGCATTTAAGGGGTCACCAGAGAAAGGAGAGCCAGCAGAGGAGAACAACAAGGAGTGGTTTGGGGGATAAGAGGGAAATAAGACAGACCCTCCAGTAATGGAAGTCCAGAGAAGAGTTTCCCCAAAAAAAGGTTAGCCATATCAAACGTTGCCAAGAAATCAAGATAAGGACCAGCCACAGATGTTAACATATGTCTAAAAATTAAGAAGCCCAAAGATGCTTTTAGAAAGCATATCTCCCTGGGAATGCAAGCTGGTGCAGCCACTCTGGAAAACTGTATGGAGGCTCCTCAAAAAACTAAAAATAGAACTACCCTGTGACCCAGCAATTGCACTACTAGGCATTTATCCACGGGATACAAGTGTGCTGTTTCGAAGGGACACATGTACCCCTGTGTTTATAGCAGCACTATCAACAATAGCCAAAGTATGGAAAGAGCCCAAATGCCCACTGATGGATGAATGGATAAAGAAGATGTGGCGCATATATATATATATATGTATATATATATATATATATATATATATATATATATATATACACACACATATACACACAATGGAGTATTATTCGGCAGTCAAAAAGAATGAAATCTTGCCATTTGCAACTATGTGGATGGAACCGGAGGGTATTATGCTAAGTGAAATTAGCCAGAGAAAGCAAAAATTATATTACTTCATTCATATGAGGACTTTAAGAGACAAAACAGATGAACATAAGGGAAGGGAAACAAAAAGAATATAAAAACAGGGAGGGGGACAAAACAGAAGAGACTCATAAATATGGGGAACAAACTGAGGGTTACTGGAGGGGTTGTGGGAAGGGGGATGAGCTAAATGGGTAAGGGACACTAAGGAATCTACCGAAATCATTGTTGTACTGTATGCTAACTAATTTGGATGTAAATTTTAAAAAATAAAAAAATTTAAAGAATAAAATAAAAAGAAAGCATATCTCCCCACAGTCATTCCAGGAAAACCATACTGGTTGGTAATTATAGAAATGTTGGGCTACTGGGGCTCCTGGGTGGCTCAGTCAGTTGGACTTCTGGCTTCAGCTCAGGTCATGATCTCATGGTTGGTGAGCTCGAGCCCCATGTTGGGCTCTGTGCTGACAGCTCAGAGCCTGGAGCCTGCTTTGGATTCTGTGTCTCCTTCTCTCTCTCTCTCTGCCCCTCCCTCACTCACTCTCTGTCTCTCACAAATCAATAAACATTAAAAAAAATTAACAAAAAAAAAGAAATGTTGGGCTGCTAAAGTACATTGACCCTCCCCCCACACAAGCTCCTTTGGAAATCTTTCTTATACCTACAGATAGGTCAAAGTCCTCCCATGGGTGATGAGGGAACTAGTTCTTACTAGACATAAGTAGTAGTTCCTTTTGAAAGGTAAAGAACCATTCTCAGTTCTCTACTTAGACAACTGTGCATTATCTCAAATGGCAGATAATGCATCCACAGAGTCCAAAGTTCTTCATTGAGCCCCGCAGTCTTCCATGCACAGAGTGTGTGGTAGTGAACAAATACTTAGTGTCGAGGAGCATAAACCTACAACAAAAGGAACAGCAGAGGGAGTCAGTGTAAGAACTAGAACCACTCCGCGTTGTGGCTGTGTGGTGTGGGATTACCCAGCTTGTCCTCTAGTGATTCTTAAGAGTGTCATGTGATTATGTGATAAATTTAATATTCTACGAATTACTAAATTTCATGATTATCCTTTAACATTGCAATTTTAGTGTGTAACTAATTTTTGGACTATACTAAGAGAGCTTTATGTTTATTCAAGTTACTGTTGATAAATTCTTGTTGATAATCATTGTGCCACTTATTGAGAACACAATATGGGCTCAGCACTGTGCCAGACTCTTCACTGACATAACATCTAATCTTGACAACAATAATATGGGGCAGGTATTGTTTCTGTTTTGAAGATGAGGTAGATGAGACTCAATTTGCTTAAGTTGACAGAGCAAAAAGTAATGAAGGTGTGTCTGACACAAAAGTCATGTTCTTTCTTTTATACAGCCTGGGTTCGAGACGCTGGCAATTCTGTATGTTTGGTACTTCATTCCCTCAAGTAATTGGGAGGTGGTGATTATGTGTCCATTTCTCATAGTTCAGTGATAAGGTGATTTATTAAATTCATCTTGTCTAGAAAAAGTAGAAGTGGCGTATATCAGAGAAAAATTAGGTAGAAGAAAATATCCCAGACTTAGAAAGATTGAGCCCCATTTAGTTAATTTTCTTTAAAAAGAAAAGTGGTTTGGTGGTGCCTGGGTAGCTCAGTCAATTGGTTGAGGTCATGATCTCACAGTTTTGGTTTGTGAGTTCGAGCCTCACATCAGGCTTTCTGCTGTCAGTGCAGAGCCCACTTAGGATCCTCTGTCCCCCTCTGTCCCCCTCTCCAACACTTGTGTGTGCTCTCTCAAAAATAAATAAAACATAAAAATTTAGTTGGGATAAATTGGAAAGAACTGTTAAAAATGATAGTACCTAGGAAGAAAAAGTGCCTAAAATTTCCATAAACTAAATTCTTCTAAATGGCCCAGGTAGCTTGTTAAACATTTTCCTCGACAAAAGCCTCTCGTTCAGCCGGTATTCTAGGAAGAATTCCATTCAGCAGCAAGCTCCCAGTCTCTCCCAGAGCTGATGGCTCCACAGAATCCCCTGTGGGACTTGGGGTCACCTGTGAGGATACACTCAGCAGGCAGGAGTGCCTGCTAAACTGAACTGAGAAATACTTCTATCTTAAACTGAGAAAGAATTCAGAACCATGAGGAATATGAAATGCTTAAGCCATAGCTAGCTGCTGTAATGACAGAACTTCTCCAGGAAGAAGAATATTTGTAAAGTTCCTTAAGAATGTATGTTCTCAGCTTTTTTTTTTTTTTTTTTTTACTGAGTTAGGCTAGAAGTTGAAAATGAAGTTTTCATATAAAAATGAGAAAGGACATTGCAGTTCGTTGTTACCAGTGCCTGGCCACTGTTTGGCCAAATTTGCAGAAGAACATGCAGTTGATATAATGTTGGATATGTTGTGCCTCAGCATAGGCCTTAACTGCATAACTTATTTAGAATTGTGGTCTTGATTTTCAATCTTTGTGTGTACTTTAGAGTATCCTCTCAAAGCCAGGGCTAGTGTTTTCTGTAAAATTCTTGGCTTCCCCAGTTCCTATCGTATTGCCTACGACATTTATATTGGATTCTTAAAAAAATATTTGTTGAGGGACACCTGGGTGGCTCAGTCGGTTAAGTATCCGACTCCGGCTCAGGTCATGATCTCGCCATTCCCGAGTTCGAGCCCTGCGTCAGGTTCTGTGCTGGCAGCTCAGAGCCTGGAACCTGTTTCCGATTCTGTGTTTCCCTCTCTGTTTCTGCTCTTCCCCCACTCTGTGCGCGCGCGCTCTCTCTCTCTCTCTCTCTCTCTCAAAAATAAATAAACATTAAAAATAATTATATAAAAAAAATTTGTTGACTAATGATGCTATCTTTCCCAAATAATTTTAGAGATCCTAAATATATTCCTTTAAAAAATTAGTCACTTCGGTGCATACAAAATGACTCTAAATCCCTCATATTTGGTCAGTTGATGAGTTGGTGTTTATATGGAAATGGAAATGCAAATCTTGTTTTAAGTGGTAGAGTTTAAAGCCTGGAGTGTACAAGACAATACTTCTGTCATTAAACAGCTGTCCAAGCCACACCTGGTTTTTGTTACTGTTTTTGAGGTTGTTCACCAAAGTTGGTTTCAAAATTATAATCCCAAGTATGACATCTTTAAAGTTACTTGGTACTTGGGAACAATGATGTTCTCGTAAACTAAAGAGAAAGTTCCTGAATGTGTATGAATGAGAAGCAAAGATTCTGATGACACAATTAATATCCTTTATGTGAATTATTTTCAATACAGATTTCTTCAAACACTTCGCAGCTGGGTGGTGCGGAACCTGTGAAACGCTATGGAAAATCTGCACTCTTTCAACTGGCAGAGGCAAGTTTCTAAGAGTATATGGAGATAAGATCTGCAGAGGTGGAAAAAGTTCATAATAACAATGTTCTTTAAACTGTACCCTATCCCCTGTGACCATAAAGTGTGTTGTTATATCTCATTTTCAACCATGAGAGGGTAAAAAAGGAGTTTTGCTACTAAAAGTCATTAAGCATTGGAAAAGGGTACTCAAGAAAATGATACAATCTTTTTCCACAGGTTAGTATTGTCAAATAAGGTCAGTTTTTGTCTCAGACTGGTGATGTAAGTGTAGCCTAAACCCAGAAGAATGGCCTGGGTCATTTTTCTCTTCTCTGATTCTCTTATAGTGTCTATAAATTCCTAGAAGACACTACTTTTAAACTAGGTCATTGATGTTTTAATTTGGGGGTGTTTTTTTAGTGAAGAACTCAAATGACTCCAAATCTGGTTTTGTAACACCTATCGACTGTACATTTGTTGTGACATGGACATAAAATGCTGCTGTTCCTTTGGTAAATGTGCTTTCGTAAATCTGTGAGGGCCAGAACCCTCGCTTGGTGGGGGATGGGTTGGCAAGAAAGGTGCCAGAAGCAGTTGTTGCTGGGGTGGGCACCTACCAGGCTTGCCTCCGCCTACCTGTGACCGCTCTGCCTTTCTTTTGTGAAAGAAATGTCGTCAGTGCTGGGACACTGCAGTAGCCGTTTTCTCTTTTGGTGAGACAAATTAGGAGGGACAAGATGGGTGACCAGAAATCTCTTACATTAAACTTTTTCTTTTCTCTCATTTTTCTGGCTTCCTTCCAATGAGTTCCTTCTGAATTGGTTTTTTTTTTTTTTTTTTTTTTCATTTTATGTGAGTGATACCTTCTTTTTATAAATCCTTTGTAGTTTGTTAAATTTAATGGGGCAGCCTATCTTCTAAATTTTATGGTAGCTTACATCATTAAAATCTAGGAGTTCTAAACATGTTTAAATTAAGCTTTTAATGTCTACCCATCTCCACATTAGAAATAGAAAAACACAAAGGCCAATGGCCTAAGAGAGTAAAGAAGTATATTAACAGTGGGACACATGAACCCTTTGTTGTCTGACATTAAGCTGACATGGTTCTTATAGGACAAAATCAGATGCAGATAGAGGTCTCCAAATGACTAGAAAACTTCCAGAGACCACAGGGAATAGTTTAAAAAGAACTGAGTGAGTCAGTGGCAAGTACTACTTCAGATAGAACTGAAATGATAATGACCTGGCAACACACGTATGCCTTTGGAGTTAGAGCAAACAAATCTTAGTAAACAGAGGCACTACGAGGTATGAATTTATCTGGTATTTTTAAGACCCTATAGATTGGCAAGACAATGTTTTTGAAAGAAGTGATTATTTTTCTTGAATAGTAAGAATGTGTGGCCCTCTCTGCATTTCCTGGTGTGTGTATGTGTGTGCACACGCATGTGCACTTTCATATGCATATATCTTCATGAAAGAGTTTTACATTTGAAATGTATGGACCTTTGAGGTACTTTAGTATGGAGGGTGCAAGAGATGATTTTTGTCTTCTCATTTTCTTTCTTTCACATAACAGTTATATAAAAAAAAGGATTCCCTATTAAATCAGAGCTCATTAAAAAGAACATTCTTCTAATTTGTAGGGATGCATCCCAAATATGAAACAGATGCTATGGTTTAACAGATGTTTGAATGCTGGTATCATAATTTTAAAGGGGTAAAATGACTGCAATAAGCCTATTCCAATTATAGCAAATCAGCTTATACTCAGACTTAGTTTCTTATAACATCCGAGTAAAAATATATGCTTTTGATAAAACAGGGTCGCTAAAAAATAGTTTACCAAGAAAATCCTCTCACATTATTATTTGCACCACATGAATATGATGCCATAATGCTAATAGACTGTGTTTTAGAATGATATTCTAAATCCTACCCAGTTTCTAATTAAACATAAATATATGCACAATGGATTAATCAGCATCTCCAAATAATCACCAATAGAAATATGCTTCCTCAATTTTTTTATACCATGTATATTTGATATTCATTTTTCTTAAACTGCATATAATATTTAATTATTTCGGGTGCCTCTTCAAATAAGTATAACAGGATACAGAGGAAGATTTTTCCTCTTGCCCAGAATTGGTGCTACTGTCTGAACTATGAAAGAACAGCTTTAAATTTATGCATTTCAAAAGGAAATCTACCAGGAAGCCATCTTCAATTTGGGCCAGATCCTTCTCTTGGGATTTCTAAAGAGATGGTCCAATCCAGCTGCTATCCCATGTACCCCTCCAGGGGTTCTCTCATTCCTATGCCAGCCTGTAAGTCGTCAGTGCGCAGGTGGCTATCAAAAACTATCCAGTCATCTGGAATATTTTGATTTTCCTCCCTGTCCTGAAGAGAGAAGGAAGGAATTGCTTTTCACTCTTCATCCCTGCTCCCTGTCAAACAAAGTGAAGGCAGCTCTAAGAGAAAATTTGTTCCCAGTTGGGGTGTATCTGTAAGAGGTGTCTTCTCATTCTTTGGTGAGAAGCTAGAAGTGTTTTAGACATAGACTTATTGCTGTGCCCTTCACCTATCTGACCAGGTGAGAAAAGCGCTGGAGGAAGTTGGCAGCAAGGAGAGGTTTGGAATACCCTGCTGTACTCTCTGTTTTGGCATTGTAAAAATGCATGAGTTTCCACAGGTCATGTGACCAAATAGAAAATAGTTCAGTGTGATCAGGCAAGAGGCCGTGGGACAGTCATGGGGGGGGAGGGGTTGCAGAGAGCAGGCCTGGGGCAGCCTCTCTCATTAGGAAATACGCACTTAGAGACAGCTTCGCTCAGGACACTGAAGAGCTCCCACAGGTAGGAATGATGTTCAGTCAGTTTCCACCAGTACAGCTGTCCTGGTACTAACATTACCAAGCACTTCCCATCGTCAGTAAAAGGACCCAAACCCCCTAGCACCCTTGCTGCAATTTCCCCAGCATCCCTGGGCTCCCCTGATCCTTCCAGCAACTGGAGGACACTGCGAGGGGTCTGCAGGACCTGTTCCAGGCCCTGGACCACATCCCTTCTGATCAGTTTGCATCCCTGCCTCTTAAATAATTTGCATATCATCCCTGCCCTTGGCATCCCCTGACAAGGTCATTCAGTCTTTTGTAGTGTTAGCAGGAACAGATACAAAAAGACAGGAATAACCATGGGCAGTGAGTTTTGCCTCCACTATTGCTTCTCCTGTTTTTTACAGAAGCTTTAGAACTCGTGAAGGGAAGGGCCAGCAACCAGCCCAGGAACTAACTTCTCCCCCTACCCCACCTCTATTCCTACAAGCTGACACAAGGGGAGAGCTGAATAGTAGACCTCCCAAAAGTATAGGGGCTGTTGCTTGCAAGAAGTGTCTTCTTGGTGAGAAGCAAGAAATATTTTAGGCATGTTCTTATTGCTGTGTCCTACACCCACGTGAGCCGGCAAAAAGAAAATTGGAGGAAGTTGGCAACAGACACAAAGAGACTTGGGTTGGCCTGCACTCTTGGTTTTGGCATTGTTTTATTTCTTTGGACCCCGTAGCCAGGAGATGCCCTGGGGAAGGCCCTGCTTCAGGCATTTGATTGGCATTTTAAGCTGGGTGGATTTTTAATAGCTGAGAGGGACCTGACAATTCTGGGATCTGTTCCAGGTATTTTTCAGGAATCCACTCCAGCTAAGAACGGAGTTGGTATAGTGCTGCTGAGGTCAGGGGATTGAGAAAAAAATACAGTCCTCTATGTGTGAACCTCCATGAGGTTCGTACTGTTCAGTTAATCAGTTGTTTAATTGGTGCAGGTACTATAATGTGTTTCCTTTCATTTTGAAATTAATTAGGTCAGATCATACAAAGAGTTGCAAAGTATCTCCCTGGAGATGATTGTGTATTATAGCTGCTATATAGTTGGAGGACACACAGACACATCTTTCCCTGTATATTTTAGGAAAGAAAATTCTACACTTAAAAGATCTCTGGTATCAAAATTGCCTAGTATAATAAAATGCACAGTTGATTCATTTATTCCAATAAGCGGTAATTATTAAGGGTTCATTCCATGTCCATAACCGTGAGGCTGCTGAAGTTACCTGCATATGGATGTACGAATACTGTTTCTTGTGATAGGGTAAGCTGTGAACCTGCTTGTGAACCTCCTAAGGTCAGTGGTATGAGCACACTCTGCCTCCGGGTGCGGTTTTGGTGTTGGAGAGTTGCCATGAGACGCCGAAGCATATGCCTAAAAATATTATTCTTTGGTTTTACTTTTCTTTTTCTGAAATAATTTTATGTGTTCTTTAAAATAGAGTCTAAATTTTAATAGCAGAAAATCAGTTGTATTACCTAACTTAAGATAATAATGACTTTAATTCTCTGCTATGTGGTAGGCACTTTCCTAAGTATTTTATATGTACTCATTGAATTTTCACACACATCCTCTGAGATAGGTATTATCACCGTTCCTCTTGTATACATTAGGAAAGAAGGGCAGAGAGGTTTTGTGACTTGCCTAAGGTCATGTGCACAGGAAGTTGGAGCCTCAGTAGAAACCCAGGCAATCTGTCTCCACACCCAGGCTCTTCCACACTGGGCTGTTCTGTCTCCTTGTTTTAGATGAATGTAAAAGACTCTGCAAGTTGCTTGTTATAGGACTTTGCGTATTATAGAAGGCTCTATGGAAGACAGCTTACTCCTACACATATATGTGTATGGCTGAATAAGATGACAGATTTTTCAAGACTGCTGTCAAAGAAATGGAGCTGATATTTCCTTTTTAAAAAGTGTCTGTACTTTTGAAACTGCCAAGATACATCTTACACCCTTAAATAAGTAAGTGCCTGTTTGTGAATATACTTTGGAAGATATTGAGAGGAAATTATGGAGTAGGACTCCTGTTCTCCAAGAACTTCTTCTCCAGTTGCAGAGAGATAAGATACAAAAAGTTAAGGGATGAGAAATAAGTGTGCAAATGGTTTCACAGGGAACCATGCAGTGAAATGACAA